TCTAATGGGAGAAGATACGGAGAGGCAAAATGTCGGAGAAAAGACGAGGAAAATGGAGTCCCAAGGAAATGAATAAATAGGAATGTAAGGGACCCTACCATATTTGAAGCAAGCCACCCACCATCAGAATTGGACTTGGTATTGACGAGCAAAGGGTTTATGGTAGAATCTGTTCAAATAACGTCTCCTTAAGACGACTCGATCATGCAGTGCTGATTTTCGATTACATTTACCAAACTTCTATTGAACAATGCCTGAAAAACAACACAGGCACCCTTATTGACCACAAAAAATTGCTGAACCTTGCTGCTTTCAAGCAAAGGACTCGGCCAGAAGAACATCTTGATTCATCGGTGTCCTAGAAAAGATTCATTGACACTAGCATAACTGATAAAGGTCGCTACAAAAACCAACCTTATCGTTACATCACATACACGATTATCACCTATTCCTAGTCGAACAAAGAAATGGATAGCACACAGGAATTTCTTCTGTCGAGAGCTCAAAAGATATCCAACTGCCGACACTTGAGATAACTATATCATGTTGAGAAATCTTTACGTAAAATTAGTGCGTGAAGATCAACGGAGGTTTCGAGAAACCCTGGCCCAAATTTATTTCAAATTCAAGACTTTTGTATAAGCATATCAATGCCACCAGAAAAGTGGATTGAGGAATACCGGCAATAGGGTATGCAGGACGCATTTCCACTACTACTTCTGAAGTAGCCAAATTCCTAAGTCACATCGCAGATACAGTACCTTATCCGAAGTGTCCCATACCCAATTGATTACCGTCACCTTCGAATCTGAAACGGTAACAACAAAACTATTGGCGCTGCGTAAGAGGGAGATAACATCCGCCCAAAGACTGACATCCTTGGAACACCACATTTGAAATAATTTCTCATTCATACCAAAGCATGTTCGACCAGACGGCGATTCCTCGGTGGTGGAAACACGGTATCATTTCACCCATTTACAAAGGTGGCTGCCGAAGTACTTCTGCGAACTACCGTCCAGTTACACATCTTTCTGTTCTGTCAAGAGTAATGGAATCAATTGTTGCTAATTCTCTGATGGAGCATTTCGAGAAATATAACATTCTGTGGCCGGCCCAAAACGGGGTTTCAAAGAAAAAAGAAAACGGTCGTGCAACACAAACCTGATTATTGTACAAGATGAGTGGACACGGGGTGCAATAGACGTAGTCTACTTAGACTTCTCGAAAGTTTTCGACAGAGTGAACCGTCGCATACTGCTGCGAAAGCTCCACAACTACGATGTTCGAGGACTGCTCCTTGACCGGAATGAAAAATTTCTTCCACAACAAACTGTATCTGTCCGAGTTAATAGTTCTCTACCGGGATCAATTGGGGCTGTTCTTGGAGTTCCACAAGGGTCCGTACCTTTACCTAGCATTCATGCACGACCTACTAGATGTCCTTGGAGAAGAAGCACTATTATTCGCCGACGACGCCAAAAAATGGAGAACGGTACAACATCCTGAAGATTACGAAGCCGTACAGGAAATTCTCGACGCATCATGCCGATAGTCTATCACTCATTACGTCGAATTCAAAGTTGAGAAATGCAAGGTTGTATCGTTGCGTCACAAAGGTCGCATTCCATACGTACTTGTTAATAAGCCATTACCGCATGTTCCAAGCGAAAAGGATCTGGGATTTTTGTTCGTGATGATCCACAAATTGCGTTGGAGCCTCGTCAAAGACCATGAAGCAAATTGGACTACTAAAACGTGTTTGTGGACCATTCAAAGCAGACCTATGGCCCCGTTTGCTATCAGCATACATTTGATCACACACCAAGTATGCTATATGGGCTCGGAATACATGGCTAATTCGCGACCAAAAGGCACTTGAACGTTCGCAAAGAACAACAACCAAAATGGTGAAGGGATTACAATCTAAAACCAACGGTGAACGGCTGCATATGCTCGCACTCTATTCCCCTGAATAACATTAAACAGGGAGAGACATGATCTTCATATTTCAATCACTAAATCAAGGCAACCACCTGTATAGTACTCTATTGACACTATCTAGGAATAGCCATCTCAGAGGATATCCATCAAAAATTTTGTTCCAAAAAACCTCGGCTAGACCATAGGCGTCAATCTTTCAGCCTCGGAGTTTGTAATACCTGGGACTCTCCTTCACCTCGAGTTGTTTGTGCTCCCACGATCGATTCATTCAAACCACGCCTCGCTAAAAAACCTAACTGTTCAGTACCCGTGATTGAAAGTAACTATTTGCAATTTAATTATACCACCAACCGAACCCATTGTGTACAGATCCTATGGGATTAATTAGGCATCAGCTTTGTAATTTATCCATAATAAAATTTCGAATGGAGTTGATGAGTCGGCGGCGTATTGTTTTAAACACATCATTCCTCTTGATTGTCAGGTTCATTATAGATAATTTGTGTTTGCTGCCGAGAAGCTGAACCTGGTGATAGACGCACCATACTTTTAGTGAACGTAAGGAAACAATCCTTATCCAACAGATCATCTATCTTACGGTTTAGCCCAGTCGTAAGAACGCAGTTCTAACTAGCGGCACCTCCATCCCACTGGGTAAGAGCATCTAAGATTCAAGAAATGTCTTATCCGAGTACGTTTACGATCGATGGAAATTGGAAGATTGCATTGGGCAGTCGGTGGTTTGTCACTTCTCACACCTTGCGTCTTTGATAAGCATCTGTATTGTGTAACAATCTATAATTTGTATTAACAGATTATCGAAGATACTAAAATTGACAATCAGATTCTATTCACCCTATTCTTATCCAGATGAGCTTTTCTGGATGATTTAAGTGTTAGTGTAGCTACGTTGACACGGATTTGGCCACTCCGAAGTATAAACTGTTTTTATAGGACTGGATCGGTCCCGCTCTATACCTCACCCCAGCTAGGGGAGCGATGAACATTAGACAAACTTTGCCACTTCGATAACCACATTTCATCCGGCGGAAGTATCCCGGATGCAATATCAGTATGCACGCAGAAGATTCCATTGGCGTTTGACAGTTTGAGACATCTATGTTACCGTCGCGACACCCGGCTATCTGTGAAGGGTTCAGTACATGTTTCAGCAGTACATTCAGTGATATATTAAATATACCAACTAGAGCAAGTAACAACTTTCTTACTAAGTTTAATGCGAAGAACATTAATTTCGTAAACACGTCTCTGGGCATTTGCAGTTATATCCTAACTGCATTGGAATATCGGTCAGTGAGTAAATTGGGTTGCCCACTCTCTCCTTTTCTATTTAACTTTGTTATATGTTTGGATAATGGAAACAGCCCTATCCTCGTGCGAGGATAGCGACATCGATTTACTCCCAGGTTGCAGGCTGTCTGTTCTAGAGTATGCAGATGAAACTATGCTGCTAAGTGAAGATCCAGGTAAATTGCAAACATTTCTGGAAAGCTTAAGTGACAACACAGCCATGTTCGGTATGCGTCTTGCATCGTCAAAGTGTAAAATGTTACTACAAGACTGGGTTGGTCCAGCACCCAGACTCACTCTAACTGGGGAAGTATTAGAGCAGGTGGATAAGTTTTGTTATCTGGGCAGCTACATCTCACCCGGTGGACGCATCACGGATGAAGTGTCAACTCGCATACAGAGGGCTCGGTTGGCATTTGCCAACTTGAGACATCTGCAGCGCCGTCCGGACATCCGGTTGTCTGTGAAGGGTCGAGTGTATGCCGCGGCAGTTCGGTCAGTTCTGCTATACGGAGCAGAAACTTGGCCATTAAGAAAACAAAATAAAGACAGACTGTCGGTGTTTGAACACTGCTGTCTACGCAGCATTGCACGAATCTGGTGGGGCAGCCGGACGAACAATGCTGAGGTTAGGCGCAGAGTTTTAGGTATCTGCGGTCACCCACTGGAGCAATTGGTCGACCTCGATAGATTACGTTGATTGGGGCATGTGTTACGCATGTCACCATATAGGTTGCCACGGCGAGCGACGTTTGCTTAGGCTGACGGTGGGTTCAATGAAGACCTGGCATGAGGGTATGAAAACCCTAACTAGGAGTCTGGGTCATTATAGGTCTCGTTAGGCCACCTGGATGGGGACCTCGGGACAATCGTAATCGATGGTTAGAGACACTGCATGATATGGCTGAGAGCCGAAAACAGCGGCGTTCTTGCATCTTCTCAGTTTCTTTGCGACATTAATCCATTGAAATTCCCAATTTTTTCTTCAATTCCACGTTCAACCTTCCTGTCTTTCTCCTACTGTTCATCCAAGTGGGCAGCTAAAGACAGCAACCAAAAGCGGCTTACGAAAGTGCATGGTTAATGATTGTATAAACTGAAACTGGAATCAAGTTGTGTAAAGTAAATTACAATCGATCAAATGATAAAAACGAAAGGTTGCAATATGCAGACTGAGAAGCGGAACGGGAGAGATCAGATTTCATCTCTATAGCGTTCTGCTGAGCTTAGCATTTTCTACATAAACATACCCGTAACTGTGAATGTCTGAAGACGAAGTTACGAAGATAAGCTTATTCGCATTAAACTGATGTTCTAATTACCAAATGGATTTTTTTCGTGAAAACTGTTCGTCTTACATAATACGTGTATTGTATGACCAATTACAACCACTGAGCGCACAAGTCAGAACCACTGCTAGCTGCAGGATCCACTATACGAATGCAACAGTGCGACAGTACTTCCTCGCCTCCACAGCGAGTATGACATTTGAATAATAGTGAATTCAACGCCTATAAACGCCATAATTTTGTTCGTCTTCCAAGTGATCGCCTCTACGTACACAAGTCAGTCGAAAATTGAAGAAATTAACAGATTATCGCCAATGCGATAGAGAGAGGGTAAGAACTGATCTATTTCATTCATTCACAGGAAATACATACACAGGTTATGATTCATCCTTTCCGGACGGAGCCCGTTTCAAGAGAATCGCCGGAAACCACGACGGACGTGATCGGTCCACCATGACAGAGCGCACCGGATAGTCAGTGAGGCCGGTCGGATCGTCCTGATAATGAAACCGGATTTCCACATCACTGGGCAGACGATCACCGATCTGACTGCGCAAAGCATTCGTCTCATCACGAACTTTGTTGTAACAGTTCACTAGCACGGAAACCACGGAGGATAAAAAAGATAAAACGCCATGAATAGGGATGACGCTGGCATTGAAAGGTCACGAAAGGCTAATATGAGTCCACCGAAACTGATATTTGACCAGAAAGCTTACCACAAAGGCATCCACTTGGGTGAAAGAAACCACAGTTGGGGCAAGAAATCAGATCGTCTCGAGGTTTGTATTTATCCATAGTGACTAGATGCGGAGCATATTTCCATTAGGAACTGTTATCATCAAATTGATACTCACATGGAAGAAATTTACGAATTCTTCTCTGTTCTAACGATCGGCGTTTCTTGGGTGTGGCTAAAAACAGACCATCTCGGAATGCATCTTCCCACGTAGACCATGAAGGGCTGAATCCGATAGCTGGTCCGGAGTAACAGGCCGGTAACAAGCCTGTGGAAGTGAAATAACGCTGAGAAAGCTTAACAAAATACCGTGTGGCCATCGAGGAGATCGAAATGCATTTGCAATGACTGTAAGCTCCGTGACAAAACGACGTATCAGATCCATTGTTTTTGGTGGCGTGTAGATTGATCAATACAAAATCGTACAAATGGAAAAACGCTGTAATTGGTATAAAAGAAGGAAGTTGAAACATGGAGTGCAAGAATATTGTAACATACAAAAGGGATATAGAAGATACTAGAGAAACTACTAGTGTGACAGTGGTTGTCCTTGAGCCTGGATTGAATGACTTCATCACCACCCCACCTGAGACGCAGGCAATTACAATGTCACTCAAAATTATGGTGCATATTTGGTTGTAGTTATTAACGCGTTCATAATCAAACGAAGTACCAGGGATTGGGCCTAATTGGAGGGAAGTAAAGAAAGAGAGTCCCTATGGTCAACGCACAGAGCACACAATCTAGGTGCGCATACATACCTTTTCAAGGATTCTGACCTGATATAAAATGACAACAAGAACGCCACTGCTGTCGGTTCGCTGTCATGTCCTTCAGTGTTTCCAACCAGCCAGCTGCTGAATCTTTTGGACCCCGATCTGGAAGATAGGGGACACCGATTCTACCTAATCGCTCTGTGCATTTCTTCATGCCTCGCTTCCACGACATCTGTTGACCTTCACGTGATTTCCTACAACCTGGAGCTGCAACTGCGAATACAGCGCGGTGCGGCAGACGATGGCTGGGCATGCGCAATACGTGTCCTAACCAGCGAAGCCGACTAGTCTGAATTCAATGGGACAACGAATTATCCATGGAATCATTACCAAATAAGCGACGCCTCACCTCAGAGTTGCTTACAAGCTCGCTCCATCCAACCCGCGTCAAACTTGGGTGGTGGTGGCGCAGTGGTTTAGTCGCTGTCACCGGCGTGCTTTGGATCCTGTGGTCCGAGGTTCGAGCCCCGCCACCGCCACCCGACTTTGGTGGTAGGCAGCTCTGCTGTCGTCCGGTTCAATACCACGCCTAGCCTATCGGGGCCTTATGTGGTTCGCCACTCCAAGTTCCGGGGCTTAGGTTGCCGATTTCATACACTGAACAGCAGGTCCTCGTGACTATGGGCTTAACCCCGTCTGCTGTTTATCACACCTAGGTGTGTAATAAAAAAAAACTACGTA